TTCTTTGGGGGAAGGGTTAGAGAGTCAGAAACACTGCCTTCAGAAGTATATAGACCTAGATGGAAGGTAAGTTAGAAAATAATAGCTTTACATTTTTTGTACTCTGTTTAATAATAAAGGTTTCTATGATTTTGTACGAATACTTTTTGACTTAACCTTCGCATGTGTAGTAAGAAACGCTGGTGGTGCTGAGATGGGAGCGCTAGGCAGCTAAACTGAAGATTGGAGCCAGTCGGTGTACAGAAGCAAGATGTGGCAGCCTGCTTCTGTAAAGATCTGCAACCGATGAAACCCTATGGAGCAATTCTACTATCTTCTGCTTCTGTAGGGTCGCTAAGGTAGAATTGACCTGACAGCAGAGTGTTTGGGATATGTGTGGTGGTGGCTGTGGGCCGTGGAGTCGGTTCCGACCCATAGCGACCCTGTACAGGGTTTCTGAGGCTGCAAATCTTTATGGGAACAGAAAGCCTCATCTTTCTCCCATGGAGCAGCTGGTAGTTTTGAACTGCTGACCTTGCCGTTCTCAGGCCGGTTCGTAACCACTACGCACTCCTTTTTAAGACTTTCTTTGGGGTTTTATATACATAGGACAAAGAACCTTACTGTTTTAGCACAAAGATCCTTTTTACAAAGAAGTTTTAGGTTGAATCCCAATAAACATAAACTGCTCATAGGAAAGATAACAGTAGAGAGAAGGAAATGTTACTTACATAAAAGAAAGAAGAAATACTGTAACATTCTGAGAAGATGGAAAGGGATGGCATTTAAAGCACAAAAGGGGGGAGGTCCTGCCTCTACTGATAAGAAAATAAGGATAGGTTCAATCAGTACAGCGCCTTCAGAGTAGGGAAAGCCATCTACTGTGAGTTGCTCCGGGATGGAAGGGACAGAAGTTCAAGGTCTGGAGGAAGTAGAACATGTCTGAAATAAATAGTGGTTGCAGAAAGAATATGCCAACTGCAGACAGGCTTATCCACGGTGTTAAAGTTTGGCTGAAGTGGTCACAGTGTGATAATTCCTCTTCCCTGCTTGTTGGAATCAGTTCAAAGGCAACTGTTGGTAGCAGTGCTCATCTGTTCTGATACCAGTGCGATGAAAGCCAATAGTAATGTATTTGAAGACTGGGATTGGCCAGATGCATGCAGCAAAATGATAGAGGAACAGAGGTGTTTAGGGTACTAGTGCAAGTATGATCATATCATCTTGGATGGTTAAAAAATGAAAGCGAATAAAGGAAAGAGCTGACAGATTGATCATAGGAATAGCAGATAGTATATGTTCAATGGAATCAGAGATCCAATAAAACTGAAGACCAGTCAGTGGGAGCGACTGATACAGTGAATCAGTAAGGCAGAGGACTGTGCTCACAGAAGAGACCATTTGGATTCGTGCATTGTAAGGTATATATAATAATATAAGGTAGGAGTCCTGGTGTGGCGCTGTGGGTTAATGAGCCAGACTGCAGAGTCGTTTGAACCGCAAGCTAACCAGCCACTCCTCGGAAACCCTATACAGGGTCACTATGGGTTGGAACTGATTCGATGGCACTTAAGAATTATAAAGTAGAGAGCATTTCTCCTCATGACAAAGTTCGCAATGTAACAATAGGAATATGAGGCTGAGTTGGAGTGGAAACGGTAATTTTTTTTCCCCTAATAGCTTCCCTTGTCATCGCAGAATTGTTGTTAAGTGCCATCGAGTCGGTGCTGATTCATAGCAACCCAGTTTAGGGTTTCCGAGGCTTTATATCTTTGGGAGTGGAAAGTGTCATCATTCTCCCGGTCATTTCAGGATACCCTTCAGTTAAATATTCTGTGACTAGAAGGAGAAACAACAGTAGGAATGTAGGACAGTTTTCAAAATCATATGTACCATATCGCTTTTAACATGTCAGACAATAAATCTAAAATGTAAAATAAATTGGATAGTATAGCCTTTGTTTACTATTGTGTACCTAAGTTTGCCTGGTATTTGATTGAGCTTTTATCAATTTACTTGATCAGACAGATGCAGTCTTCAGTTTAATTAAAAAAAAAAAACAGTGGAGAGATGTCCAAATAAGATCTTGGAGGTGATGGAGCTAGTTTTATTCCATCTGCACAAAAGTGACAACGTGGCAGCCCAACGTGTGTTGTTTCCACTCAGTGTGTTAGCTACAGTATAGAAAAGTTTTGATTGTGATATTTGCATTGTAGCTTTAAAAACAGAAAAAATATATTGGATGATAGATATTTTGAAAGTAGAATTCCTGGCACTGAAGTTTCTGCAGAATGCACTTTTGAAAACCACTGTAGTGGACTACTAAGGGAAAATTTCAGGAGTCGTATCTAAGCTCATCATTTACTGTGACAAGTTAGTAGGGCAGGTTACTCTC